TGCAACGGTTTGAGTTAAAAATCTCCGTTTGTGTTCTACTGAAGAAACAAAGTCACCTACATCTTGGATGCCCTGGGGGTAAGCAGATAAACATCACATTTTCATTTTTGGGTGAACTATCCCTTTAAGCAAATTTTGTGTCATCCCTTCTGTAGATAGATGATATAATCCTTAAAATAACAGATAAGAGAAATGTTGTATTGTTGATGGGCAGTCCAAGTATTAACTGATTCCATAGTGTGTGTTTTTTTTTGGTAGATTCCCTATGCAAACATCATTAGAAAAGAAAAGGTCGGGACACATCTAAACAAAAGCTAAATGGTAAGTATCAAAGTTATTTCATCATATGAGAAAAATAAGGTGTCTGCATTCACTAAAATCTATTTAATACAGACTTCATGATTTGTTAACAAAATAGATCACCGTAAAAAAAACAACCTTGAGTTGAACCTTGTAACTTATAGATTAAAGTTGAAAATTGCTTAACTTATTTTGATGACTTAAAGTAATGTAAAAACACGTTGTCATAATTTATTGGCCATATCATTTTTTTTTTTACACTAAATAGCACTAATTTGTCATCACATTTTTGATGTTCTTGATTATTTTGAGAAATCATAGTGACTGTATCAATTGTTATATGTTTTAGGTCAATTCGTTTGAAACAAAACCAAGCTGCTCTCAACGTCTCAACACAAAGAAAGCAACGTCTTCACCGGATCAAAATGTTGAACGCTGCCTTTGACAGACCACCTCAACAATGTCCATCTCTCAATCAAACCAAAAGGCATCAGTGTACTGACGGATACACAGTAACATAAAACGCATCTACAACCTTTGGGTTACAAGTCCAACTCTCTAACCATTAGGCCACGACTTCCCACATTGCATGCATATAGCCATTCTAGCATGATATGTATCATTATAAAATGCTCTGTAATCAACAAACGCATAATTTTCACAGTCGGCTGGGGAGCAGAGCAGGGTATTGGAGGATTTGGAGATGAACCCGGCATTAAAGCACAACTTCTGAACCTTATTCGCTCCGTCAGGACTATCATGAGAGGTTTGCTCATTTCTACAGTGTCAATTAAAGCAATAAGCCCCAAGAAGCCGTGGTTTACAGTGAATTTATAACAGCTAAGGGGCGTTGTTAGGCAAGACGCGAAGCGGAGTAAAACCCCCTCAAGGGGCGGTCACACTAGACTTTGAATGTGCGAAAGTTTTTCGGACGCCGCTGTGATATGGGCGGGAGCAGGATATGACATCACGCGCCAAGGTTATCACAACATGAACTTGTACTGTGTCTTTCCATTCTTTAATTCAGGAGCTTCGGCTGGATGAGGATCGCCACAAGGAGTACTTTCGGCTTTTTTTTAACTATAGTGAATAAACTGTATTAATGAATGAAATGTTCAAGGTGTCTGAATAAATTTTGGTTTGACTGTACATGTATAATAAATTAAGTGCTGTGCTTTAAGTGCTGTAGGTTTTTCCCTCTAAATAGGTCATTTTATACGTTCTTGAGGTGTGCAACATTTATTTTACAATTCTGAAAATATAAATAAAAAATAACGAACAACATTAAGTAATTTAATAGTAATACACTTGTGTATAGTAATTATATTGTACTCTCTCTCTCTCTCTCTCTCTCTCTCTCTAAAATATAAAATAACGAACAACATTAAGTAATTTAATAGTAATACACTTGTGTATAGTAATTATATTGTACTCTCTCTCTCTCTCTATATATATATATATATATATATATTTGATTTTTAAAATGTTTTAAAGAATGTATTATATAAAATAGGACGCTGCGCTACGGCTAAAATTAGCGCTTCCTCCATTTTTGAATTTCTGTACAGAGAGGTCACGCAGTGACGTATCGATCTTCTACTGGTCACACGTCTTCACGTGATGCGAATTCGCAGGTCAGAGTTCACCAAACTTGAACTT